TGAACTCTGTGTGTGTGTGTGTGTGTGTGTGTGTCTGTGTGTCTGTGTGCTGGTCCTAGGGCTTGAACTCGGGCTAGGGTACCTGTCTCTGAGCTTTTGTGCTCAAGGCTAGAACTCTACCACTTGAGCTTAAGCTCCATGTAAGGTATATTAAATAAGTAGGTTTCATTAGGTAGCCGATGAAGAGAACACCACGCACTATTCAGCAGGAAAAGAAGTTTATTTACCAAACTGCTGTCCTGACTGTACATGGTGGAGAAGCATGGCTGAAAAAGGGGCGACCCACACCTGGACCAGGACTTATTTAGGCCAGGGACAGGAAGAGGTGTGGCCAAGTGGGGGAAAGGTGTGGCCACACTGGATCCGGATGTGACCTCAGGGTGTGGGACCCTCCTAAAGGTGGGAGGCATGTGACCAGAGGTGGCCCAGGATGTGACCTATCTTCTAGGTGTGCCAGTTACCTAGGTAACAGATACTGGGTAGAAACTTAGCCAAGAGGGCCTGCATGGCCGGGGTAGACCTTACATTCCATGTCTGGCTTTTTTGGTAGTTAATTGGAGATAAGGGTCTCACGAACTTCCTGCCTAGGGTTGGCTTTGAGCCATGATCCTCAGATCTCAGCCTCCTGTGTAGCTAGGATTACACATGTGAGCCACTACTGCCGGGCTGATACTCTATTTTTGCCACCATATTAAAAATGCTTTATGTCACCATCTCCTCCAAGACACTGTCACATGTGACATTAGGCTGTGTGTGTGTGTGTATATATATATATATATATATATATATATATATATATACACACACTTTTCTAATTCCTTTGTTTGTTTATCTGTTTGTTTATCTGTCAGCTGCTGGAAAGTGATCTCAGTGGACACTGGGCCTTTGTCTGGTAGACCGTTTCACAAGTAGCTTGTCTGGCTGCAGACCCTCTATGTTGAGTGGATGAATAAATGCACTGCCCTGCAACTAGAGGAACACGGCATGTTCTCTGAAAGGAACAACACTGCAAAAAGCTGATTATCCCAATTCCTTTATAACTCAACACAATACTACACTAGCCACAGATGAATTGCCCAATCCCTTTTCTAGGAAACATTTGGTGACCACTGAAGGGAAGGAGTGTGATCTGCTGACAGCCAATTCTGCTGAAGGCATGTGCAACCAGTGACCAGAAGGCTAGGGCTATATGGAGCCCTGTTCCATGCCCATGCCTGGATGCTGATCTACTACCATGGCAACATGGTTCTAGTTATCAGAAGTCCCTTCAGGACTGGCTGATGCCAAGATGTACCTCCCTCAATTCATCATTACTTCTTCCTTTCCCAGGAGCTGAACTCCTAATAAGTAGGTCATACCTCAAATTCACCCTCAGCATTTGCTTCTCCAAAGAAAACTGTGTTAGCCTGCTTTCTATCCAAATGCCTGGTAAAGCCAGGTGCCAGTGGCTTACATCTGTAATCCCAGCTACTTAGAAGGCTGAGGCCTAGATCACAATTCAGAGTCAGCTTGGGGAGAAAAGTCTGTGATACTCCATCTCCAAAAAAAATCCAGCAAAATGCTGGGCTGGAGGCATGGTTCAAGTGGCAAAGTACCAGCCATAAGCAAGAAAGCTGAATGAGAGTGGAAGGGCCTGAATTCAAGTCCTGGTACCAGCACACAAACCAACCAAAAACTAGTTTAGCATAATCAACCTATAAAGAGATAAAAGTTTATTTTGGCTCACATTTTTAGAGGTTTTACTCTACAATCAGTTTGCCCTTGTTGCTTTAGGCTTGTGGCAAGGAGCACACCGTGGCAGGAGTATGTATTAGAGCAAAACTACTCACCTTAAAGGCAGGAGGCAAAAGAGAAAAAGGAAGGCGTGAGGCTCCTAAAATCCCTTTCAGAGACACATGGTCAATGAAGAGAAGACCTCCCACTAGGTTGGTAAAAAAACCTGGTTCCTGCAAATACATCCACTGACTCAAAAACGCAGAGCAAGGAGTCTTTATTAGCTGTGCAGTGACTACACCCCACTCACTGGGTAATGGAGTGTAGCAGCCAAGCTCTCTCAGGGCATGGCTGATAAAGGAAAAGAGCCACACGCAGGTGGTGGTGTGCATGACAGAAGCAGAATCAGCAGTCAGTAATCAAAAATAGCAATTTCCAATGAACAAAACACTAAGTCAGAAGCAAAGAGCAATCCGATTTTCCCTTTGTTAGCAGTTTAACTGATGTTTACCAAAACATGTTCCAAGCTTCCTATTTACAAAAACACCTCCTAATCTTCCTATTTAGCAAGTCTAAGGCCAAATGGCCTTCTGGCCTTCCAGGTTCCCAGGTTTTCCTGAATTCTGCTGCTATTTACCACATTTCAGAAACCTGATGTTTAACTTGTTTATGATTTCACTCCCTAATTCACTTTGGGTCTTTACCTCTGGAATTTCTCTTTAATAATTAACCTGGAGTTTCTCTCTACAAAGAGGTTCTGCCTTAAATGCTTTGCCCTATTTTTAGTAATCAATAATTTTGCTCTGTCTCTGATTTCCCATTTTACAATATTCCACCACTGAGATACCTCCCAACTGTGACATGCCTCTCTTTCCCAGCTCTCTCTCATTCCCAGGCCTTTCCCAGCCACGTGGAGTGCCAACCTTGCCTGGTCCCATCAGGTCTACTGAATAAACCTACCCCCTTACCTGAATACCATGTGCGTGCTGGTGCAGTTCTTACTCGGCTACCTCTTTTTAAAAACCTAACACTGGCAACATTGCCTCCAGCACATAGGCCTTTTAAAGATCTTCCAAGTCCAAATTGAAGCACCATCCTGCCCCACAAAATAAGCAAAACATCAAATAACAATCAGAAGTAAAATCAGGAAGCAAAGCCAAAGTAGGAAATACCCTATGTTTAAAAACAGGGAGATGTAGCAGGGTGGCACATACCTGTAAATCTCAGCACTAGGGAGGCTGAAGTAAGGGGATTGTGAGTTTGAGGCCAACCTCAGCTATATAGATACTTGAACTCTAGGCCTGGGTACGGTTCTGAGCTTTGTTTGTCTAGTGGTTTTGGTCATAGGGCTTGAACTCAGGGCCTGGGCGCTATCCCTGAGCCTCTTTGTGCTCAAAGCTAGCGCTCTACCACTTTGAGCCACAGCTCCACTTCTGGTATTTGAGAGGTTAATTGGAGGGAAGAGTTTCACAGGGACTTTTCTGCCAGGACTGGCTTTGAACTGTGATCCTCACATCTCAGTCTCCTGAGTAGCTAGGATTACAGGACAGACACTGTGCTGTCTTGAGCTTTTATGCTCAGTGCTAGTGCTCTGCCACAGCTTGAGCCACAGCTCCACTTCTGGCTTTTTGTGGAGATAAGAGTCTCATAGACTTCCTGGATAAAGCTGGCTGAGATCCTTAGATCTCAGCCTCTTTGAACATATGTTTACTGCAGCACTATTTGCAAGAGCCACATAATGAAATCAGACTAGATGTTCATCAACCTGAATGGATAAAAAAAATGTAGTATACGTATAAAATGGAGTATTATGCAGCCATAAAGGAGACTAGGCCATTTGCAGGAAAATGGCTAGAACTGAAGAGCATGCCAGGGAAATAAACTAGATTCACAAAGATAAATCAAGTTTCCTCTCATATTCAGACTTTAGGCACAAAAAATATACATATCATGAACATAGAAGAGAGATTGTTTGGAGGACAACCAGGAGAGGAAGAAAGAAGAAGGTGGTTAAAGGGGCAATATAATTAAATATATATATATGTGTGTGTGTGTATAATATATATGCATATCTAATCTAATATACATATAATTATGTATGTGAACCCCAGTACTGGGGCTTGAACTCAGGGCCTTGAGCTCTTACTTGGCTTTTCCAGCCATGGCTGGCATTCTACTCCATTTCTGGATCTCCATCTCAGATTTTCTGCCAGGGCTGGTTTTGAATTCTGGATCTCAGCCTGCTAAGGTAGCTTGGATTATAGGTGTACTTGTAGTGGCTATTTATGTATGAAAATGGTATAAATTATCTTTTTAAAAAAGGAAAGGAAATGCCAGAACATAGGATAATAAAATGAGTTACCGATGTGTAGAAATGTTTCTGATACACTGTCAATTCAGTTAAAAAGCAAAAGCAAAACAAATAGAAGAACACAAGGCAATTTATTTATTTATCTTATTTATTTATTCTTGTCAGTCATGGGGCTTGTACTCAGGGCCTGGATGCTTCCCCTGAGTTCTTCAGCTCAAGGCAAGTGCTCTTGAGCCACAGTACAACTTCTGATTTTCTGGTGGTTAATTGGAGGTACCAGTCTCATAGACGTTCTTGCCTGGGCTGGCTTCGAACCTCGATCCTCAGAACTCAGCCTCACAATGCAATTTAAATAGAAGATTAACTACAAGCTATTTGCTTTGCTTGTCCACAGTTGGGTCCCTTTCTTGTTAAAAAGGGTTGTGTTCAGTGGCTCAAAGCAGTCTACCCAGGAGTACTGGCCGGGCTCCTGGCATGAAATGGAAGCAAGTTGTGAAGTCAATGAGGGTGCAGAGTCAGGCCAAGGATGCTTAGATGCCAGAGAAGTCAGCCTAAGGTTTGAAGAAGAGCAGAGAATAAGCACGGCTAGGATGAAGGCTCAATAATGGACACATGGACTGTTCTGACAAATGTATAAGCAGGAAGTGGATACACACATAAGAACAAGGAGGAAAATTAATACTGTTCTTTCTGGTCCAGCTCTACATCCCACATGATAAAAATGAGGAAGTCAAGGAGGCTCTAAAAAAGAGGAAAAGGAGAAGACACACCCAGTGGGAAGAGCCCAAAATGGGCTCCACATCCCCCCTCCCACATCTGCCTGGGTTCCAATTATAATTTATTCTCAGTGTTACTTACTGTCCAAAGTTGAGAAATGGGATTACACTTAACTGGACTTTTAGGCTAAGATCAGCAAGACTCCACATAGCTCCTCCTTTGGTCCCTCCCACTCCTAGAAAGTCTAAGTGACCCCTGCCTCTCTGGAGAACAAGAAAGCCAGGATCACTGCCTCCAGACCTCCCACAGGTAACCGGGCTGGGGACGCCTGTGAGACCCAGGGACAGAGAAGATGTTAGAGGAAGAGAGAGGAGAGACTTTGGGTTTTGGTTGTAATTGGGAAGAAACAGAAGGAGCCACCATGGGATTTAATTATCAATTACTACTTGAGATTATCTTCCCTTCACTGGATTCTAGATTAGACTATGGCAGCCAGAATCCACAGTCACAAACTAAAATTCAAATTTAGCTTGATCTCTGGTCCAATTCCACCTTGATTTTCAGCCTCAATCCCAGTTCTAACCTCAACTCTGACTTGAATCCCATCCTCAGCTTTAGCCAAGATCCAACTTGGATCTCAACTTTAAACTTGAACCTTAACTCCATTCTACTTCTAGTTCCAGGGCCAAGCTTAGGCCCAATTCCCATGAGCACTGATGCTACTACTAGAGTGTGACAGAATATCAAGTCCAGAATCATTTCACACCCAGTTGAAAAAAAATGAATTTAGCTCCAACTTACTTCTGAATTAATTCTAAATTCAGTTCAACTTCTGCTTACCACCTGTAACCTCAGGTGGAAACTCAGGAATGTTTCTATTTTGGTTCAGGGCTCATTCTCAAATGGAATGTTATATCTTATTATTCCAGTCCTGATTTCAACTCTACCTTGCTTCCAGCCTCTTTATTGGCCATAGCTCTGCTCCATTTGCGCCTTGGTTTCTTCATTACAGCTCAGACAGCCTCAGAGACCGGCTGGGTTCAAGCATGACAATGGCATATGAAAATTTTCAAGATGTGGGGAGCGACGAAAAAACCCAAAAGATTGACAAAGGTGAGAGGAAAAGAGAGAATGCTCTCCTGAACTGTCTTCTTAAAATGTTTAACAGTAGCCAGGTGCTGGTGGCTCACGCCTGTAATCCTAGCTACCCAGGAGGCTGAGATCTGAGGATTGTGGTTCAAAGCCAGTCCAGGCAGGAAAGTCTGTGAGACTTTTATCTCCAATTAAGCACCAAGTGATAGAGCTCTCACCTTGAGCTGAAGAGCTGAGGGACAGTGTCTAGGCCCAGAATTAATTCCCATGACCGACCAAAAAAAAAAAATCTAGAAGTGGTGCTTGTAGCTCAAGCAGTAGAGTGTTCGCCTTGAGCTGAAGAGTGCAAGGACAGCACCCAAGCCCAGAGTTCAAGTCCCACAACCACCAAAAAAAAAAAAAGTCTAACAGTGTTTCAGCTATATGTCTGCACCTCTGAAAAGTATGGTGTTGGGGGTCCGTTCTAGAGAGTCAGCTCCTCAGATCTGAGGGCCCATTGTAAAGAGGATAGAAGATCCTCAGAAAGACAGGGAAGACCTCAGTGCCTTGGCTTGGCTCTGTTCTGTGGGCAGAAAATAAGAGTTATGTCTTGCTGGGTGCTGGTAGCTCATGCCTGTATTACCAGCTACTTGGGAGGCTGAGGTCTGAGGATCACAGTTTGAAGCCAGCCCAGGCAGAAAAACCTGTGAGACTCTTATCTCCAATTAACTACCAGAAAATCAGAAGTGGCACTGTGACTCAAAGTGGTAGCGTGCTAGTACTGCTGGGCCTTTCATAGATTTGCACACATTGGCCTGCTTGTTATAAAATAACTAATTTCCCCTCCAAATGAACCTGTCAGTTACAACTCTTTTTTTTTTCTTTTGGTCAGTTGTGGAGCTTGAACTCAGGGCCTGAGTGCTGTCCCTAGCTTTATCGCTCAAAGCTGGTACTCTAGAGCCACAGCTCCATTTCTGTTTTTTTGAGTGGTTTTTGGAGAATAAGAGTCTCATAGGGAGTTTCTGCCAGACCTGGCTTTGAACTGTAATGCTTAGATCTCAGCGTCCTGAGTAGCTAGTATTATAGGTGTGAACCACCAGCACCTGGCTTATTTCTCTTTTATCCTACTTCTATCTCACTCTTCTCTGATGAAGAAGCCACATACATTGCCACAGTTTCTGCCTGTGTCTGCTTATATGCATGTGGTCTCCTCGGGGGTACATACATGGGCCTCCAGAAGTATGAGAGGTAAATGTGACATGGATTCCACAATTCTTCTCAGCTAAGTCTACCACACCCCCAGCAGTCCTAAGGTTCACCCTAAATCCCAAGACAGGTTCTTGGGGCCCCTCCCATCGTCCTGCCTGTCTCATATCTTGGACCTCTCTCGTAGGAACATCCTCTTTTTCAGCCCTTCCTTTTCCTTCGGCCGTGTGGAATATCTGCTCAGTATTCCGTCTTCTCCTGTTCTCCCTGGGACTCGGCCTCCTGCTGTTGGTGGTTGTCGGTATCATTGGATCTCAAAGTAGGTACCCACAGGTACCCAGGGAGGAAAGTAATCATGGGGTAATCAGTAGTGGGCCATGGGGGGTGACAGTGAGAAGATAAGCAGGGACAATGATGGATACACAGGCACTGATAGGGCATTATGACAATGCCGCTGCTGTGGACAGCCAAAGAGGCCCACATGGGCAGTGGCCTTCGTGGGCAAGTGATGGTTCCTGTGGTGAGTGCTGGGGGGAAAGCAAAGGACCTGTGAAGGGATCACTGCTCGCTTTGGCCTTAGCTTTGGCTGCCTGCTGCATTCCTCACCCCAGGCCTAGATTTCCTCATATACAATACCAGACGACGGCACTGATGGCCCACTGGGTCAGGGTGAGACTATGGAATGAGGTTCTGCATGTCAAGTGGCCTGCTCAGGGTCAGTACAGATGGACCCTCATCAGTCTTAGTCCTGACCACATTCCTTCCACTCATCAGATTCCCAGGTACAGAAAGACCTGCTCATGCTAAGGAGGAATTTCAGTAACTTCACCTCAGACACAATGGCTAATATCCAGGAATTGACATCCAAGGGTGAGCTGGGCTTGCCCAGGGCTCTGGGATGGGGTGGGAGTGGGTGGTGATTTGATTTCTTTCTTTCTTTTTTTTTTTTTTTTTGGT